TCTTAGAAAGGATGAAAAAGAGAAAAGAGACAGAAATATAAAGCTGCAAAGATTACCAAGTAGGGAGAAACCACTACAAAATTAACCCCTTTCACTTAGATCCCCATTAAATTTTGTTCTTTACTCATTCATAGCATGTTCCATCTATATCATCACTGTAGTTATAACTTAAAAGAGATCAAATCAGTAATTGATAATTTGATATAACTCGGTGCCAGCACTAATTGTATCTGCAACACTCATGACATTAAAACAGACCAACAAATTAACCACCAATATAGAAAAAGAGAAAATCCAAATGCACCTTACGATGGGACTTTGATATCTTCATAGCCTTCAGAGCTTGGTTTGTATCCACACTGCTGTGTAAAATATGGACCTTGAAATCTGAACTTAAAGGTTTTAAGAGGAACCATTGCTGCTCTAAGGAATAGTATGTTGGAAGGAAAACCAAAATACTCTTTTCAATGTCTGGCTCACTTGTATGTATGTACAACACAAGTTTATGAATAAGATTGTGAACATCACGTTTGATTTCAGCCTTAGCCATGGATGGGGCTGTACCGCAACAGTATTGTACACACAACAAGTCAGAAGACTCTGAACTCTCATCAAGAAGTTCAGCAACCTGCCATCAAACAGAAGTCAGTAATATAATACTTCTTATGGTAAGAAGAGAATCTGAGAACAAATCATGAAAATATAAATTTAAAAAAATATATAAAAAAAAAGAAAACTTATTTTCATCAGTTAGCTCAGTATATATAGACTCAATCAGTATAAAGATAAACAAATTTTAAAAAGTAACAGTAAACCAAAAAAAAAAAAAAAAAAAAAAAAAAAAAAAAAAAAAAAAAAGAAAAGAAAATACCCAATGTAAAAATTCATATATAAGCTAAACAAGACGTTAAAAGCTAATATCAAACACCAAAATTAGGAAACGCAAACAATTCTATGTAATTCCTCCTAATATATACTAAACATTTATGTAATTCTTCAAAAAAGAAAAAAAAAAAGAGAGAGAAAAGGTAAAATGCAGTTTCTATCAGATGCTCCCAAAAACAAGAGCCCCAAAAGTGTTTCCAGTAGGTGTGTCAGCTTTCAGTAAATCAGGTACTAAGAAGTAAGAATATGTAAAAACTTGAAGATGCCTCCAAATAGTTTGGTAGTTAAGCCCTACGTGCCCTTAAGTGCACTATTGAAATAAAATGCCTAGAGAGTAAAAAACAACAATAACAGTAAAAATAACAACAATAAAATAACAATAACAATAATAAAAAATTTGTATAAAAAATAGTATAACTAAAAAATATAGAAAAAACTGCACTGACAAGTAAGCTTCAATGAATACCAAAACAGGATCCAAGAGAAAAGATATGGATGCTTACCTGTTCAAGATAAAGGACCTTCCGCTGAAAATTGATGTGCTGACTAGAACTGGGAATAGCAAGGACTTCAACTCGCTCATCCCTGCCAAGATCCTTAAAGTAATCCCGATACCTCGAAATATCAGCAGTTGCAGACATCAACACCAGCCTATACAAAATTTGATTATTATCAGGCAGCTAAAAGCAAAAGCAGCATGAAAGTCTCAACTATGTGCTAGAAATCATAGCACAAAAATCAAATATAGTTTCTTAGATACAGAAATCTTTTAGCATATACTCCCTCCAATAGCTATGCTGTAAGTTTAGATAAATACTAGCATTTGTCACCATAGAGCAATAAGAGAATATGAAATCAGACTGAAGATTGAATAAAACCAACATGCACTTAACCGTTTGCTAGTTTCCCTCGGATGCTCTGTCAACTTTCTAAGTAACCTTTGCAGACGATGATTATCATTATTATAATTGTAAAATGAAAAAGCACTATAGTTTCCACGACTTCTAACATGGATCAAGGCAAGTCGCACAGATGACTAAGACATGGGAGTTATAAACACTTGCAGTCAGTGGTAAAGATGGATAGAAGGAAGGAACAAAAAATTGAAGCAAATAGATATGTGAATAAGGAAAACCTTATATCTTTGTTTCTGAGAAGAAACTGTTTCACACAGACAAGAACAAGATCAGATTCTACTGATCTCTCGTGCACTTCATCTAGAATGATAGCCTTGTACTTGAGCGCATGTATCCCCTTTTCTCTTATTTCCTCCAGCAGTACACCAGCAGTTTTAAAGATGATTTTTGAGCTGCATTGATACAAGTTAATTTTAGCATAGATAAACTGCCCCATGGTTTTCTCCACAGGATGCAGAATATGATACACAGTGCTACTAGCAAAATCGCACATACATACCATATAACTATATAAGGAACCCTAACTAGACAAAATGCATACAAAGAGACAATTTAAAAACTGAAATTCATGTTAAGTAGTTAAATACAAGAGAGGATGGGTGTCTTTTACGACAAAAACCCATTATCATGAGTCATGACATTGGAATATGAGTAAGCTAAGAAATATTCAAACATAGTATAAAAGAGATGCTGTCTTTTTCAAAAAATAATAGTTGGGAACAGACATTCGGGAAAATAAGTGTGTGCCAATACCTGGATGACATGACCTTAGAGTGCCCAATGTGATATCCAACCTCGTCCCCCACTTCACATTGAACAACACTTGCAACCATTTTAGCAACAGCTACAACAGCAAACCTCCGAGGCTGTGTACAAATAACTGGGGTCATGTTTGCTTCACGGAGAAACAGCGGAACTTGTGAGCTTTTCCCTTCAACACCCAATTAAACACGTTGTCAGCTTACGTTAAAAGTAATATCAATCTTAAAATAATTAAAACTTTAACGCGTTAAATAAGATAACAAGAAAATCTTGTTTTAACCCTGAACGGTACAAAACAATCCAAACCCAGTTAGTCATAAGGTGGAATCTTATATAGCTACAGCCAACGATGGTTGTTGTGTTACAGGCATTGGAATGATACTTCAAATGCCTGTAATAACCCCTTAGGAGGCAGTGGTTGTAGAGACATGAAAAATTTGTTACCTTATGAGATGAACATATTTATTCATTATACACCATTACATCGTACCATTTAAGGTAATGTTCTAGGTACCTTGGCAAGGAGATTTATTACTTATTTTTATTAAATACAAACCAACTCAAATCAAACAACAGTAAAATGAATCTAAAAAGACCCCATTTGATATGTTTTTTCTTACTTATTAGCATACAAATAAGGTCAAAGTACAACTTTACAAAAATCATTTTACAAACATCCTCTTCCCTCACCTTCAACAATCCTCGTATCATCTAACCACATCACACAGGCCTAATATTGAAAGATCAAAATAAAGTAAAACACTAGACTTAGAATTCAAAATTGTACGGAACATTCACAAGGTCCCTCCGACCCTCCCTATAGAATTAACACTACCTCCTCTGTTTTTTTTTTTTTTTTTTTTTTTTGTACATCTCCCATTGTAATATGGTAATCAAAATATCTCACTAATACATTTTAGAAAAAAATAAAAAAAATAAAAAAATTATATTTGAAACTAAAATCAAGATGAACCTTACAAGTTCCAAACAAGACTGTTTTGAAATATAAAAAAAATCATTAAATCCAAAAATTCCATTTTCCATGAAATCTTAAGAGATTCAAAGTTTCTAAATGTGACAAATAAAAAAAATAAAAAAAAAAACAAATGAAGGAGAAGTCATATAACTAGTTCATTTTACACAATCAACAACTAAATTCCTTCCTTACCGAGCTAATTCATATTACTAGATAAGGTCACACCATAACAACACGACAACTAATTCCTTCCCGGAATTGTCACCTTACTAGTTCAGAGAGATTGTTATATACTTCCGGATACACCGTACACCCAACTAATCCAAGTTAATTTTTGCTATTCATTTGATGATTAAAATAAAAATGAGAACAAAATACTTATGTGTGTACAGTGCACCCCAGTGTGTATAACAAATTCCACTAGTTCAAATAACACCGGATTCCTTCCTGGAATTATCACATTACTAGTTCAAATTACACCGGCAACAACAACAACTACAATTACACATTATTAACCAACAAAACAACATTTGCTACTTGATCAAAGAAAAATTCTAAACAAAAATAGGAAACTCATGCTTGATTTTATCAAACACATTACCAACAATGTAGAAATTGAGAAGAAAAAAGTGAAAAAATTATACCACAACCAGTTTCGCCGACGATGAGAGTAACTCGATTCTCCATAATCTTATCAACAATCTTCTCCTTCATAGCCGTAATCGGAAGAGAAGCGAATTTCTCAGAAGAAAACGGAGAAGGATACGACGAACTACACGACGACGACGACGGCGATGACGGCGACTCCATTGAAACTCCGGCGAATTTAGGAGAGAGAAAATGACTCAATAATCAAAATCAAAGACCAAAAACACTCTTTTTTGCTTTAGAAGTCGTCTTTGTTAATTGTGAATTTGTGATACTAGTATTATAGTGTATGAACTGCTAATGCTGCTGCGCCCTTTTTTGCTTTTAGTCTCTCGCGCCTTGAGAGAGTGATTCGGTGTGACGCGGGTGTACGGGAGTGATGATGTGTGATGGGGTTTGATTTGATGAGGGTGGGTTTAGGGGTGGGATTTGTGACGTGGAGTGATCAGAGAGGGGGGTGTATGGAGGTTTGGTGTAGTGCTGGTGTAGGGGATTGATGCTTTTTTACACGTCAAGGGGAAGTTTTAGGGTCCTACTTGTTGAAGATGGGTAGACTCTTGAAATGGGACTGTGGAGAATTGTACGTAGTACATTGTTGCGGAGCCATGGGGTTTGCCGTTGGATTTTATAGTACACCAGGTCATTTTTGGAATAAAGTTTGCGGGATTTAAAATCCGTGAAAGTTAAGGTCTGATTAATGTCTCTTATGAGTTTTAATTTTGAAACACCATTTACCTTGCGTTTGGATATGCGGATTTCATTTCAAATAATAAAATTCAAATTCCGAAATTGAAATTCTACATTTCAAATTCAAATCATTTGTTTGGGAAATATGATAATTTCAAATTTAGGATTTCAAATTCAAATACTTGTTTGGGAAACGAGAGAATTTCAATTCTAGAATTTCAAATTCTAGTTGTTGTTTGGGAAACAATGGAATTCCAAATTCTAAATTTCAATACCTAAGTTCCAACTTAACTCTAATTATCTCTTAACTTACAACACTACTACTCATCAATACACAAAATGATCCAATCTAATTTTTGATCATCGGGTAAATTTTTCAGCATATCAAATTCCTCGAATGTGCCATTTAAGAACCTCTTAACCGCCCTCAAAGCTTGGTGTCGAGATATTCCAAGTACACTAGACGCTTCCTTGTAGATTTCTTGACTAGTCGGCCTTGTTGATTTACTCACGTACTCCTTGAAAGATTCAGCAAAGCTACTCACAGCATCTGCAAGACGATCCCTTTTTAACCTTTAGTTTGATTCTCCGGAAGCTGTTTCTGATGTACTTGCATTATCATTTTCATTCTCCATTGCTGCAGCAGCTTCTTCATGTTGCTCAGCACCATCTCCTATTGCTCTATCAGGTGCAAACAAGGTACAAATGTCATCCCAATTCTCGAAGCATTTGTTTTGATACGCAGATGCAGCAGGCGTTTCCTGTTAACAAAAGAAAGTCAACAGTACAGCAGTATAGCAGTATAGAAGTATAGCAGTAACGGGGCAGTATAGCAGTATAACAGTACAAATAGCAGTATAGCAATATAACAGTACCAGTTTCTGAAGCACATGCTACTACATTCAGCTTAAACATGGCTACCACTTGAGAATTATCTAGCAGTAAATACTAGAAAAGAAGCTAGATGAAGGTTCATACAGTCATCTACTCTGCCAAATTGCTACTGATTAGCAGAAGCAGGAGGTTCCATCACAGACATGGCAAGTGACTAGCATGTATAGAACTTGTATCTGATTACTTTCTTGTATCTGATCACAGACATGGCAAGTGACTAGCATGTATATAGTCATCTATGCACGCACTTTTACCATTACTTTCTTGTATCTGATTAAGCATGTATAGAACTTGTTATTTTCTTTATAATGCATTTGGAAATTGTTATAAGCAGAGAGACTTCTAGAACAGGAATTAAAAGTTCCAGAGAAAGATTCTGATTGATAGTTCTGATTTCTCAATTATAGCAAAATAAAGGATAGAATGTAAAGCTTTCAAGTGACCTAATAAACTACCAAGAGCTAGATTATTAAGACAACAATTTCATACTATGGATGCATCTCTCTCTGCCTACTCTCCCTTATTTATAGCATTTTCTGAAACAGCTTTGTTTTTCTTTTGAGAAGGGGTCAATACTTAAAAAAAAAAAAGTTTTACACTCCGATTCCTTTGTTTTTCTTTTGAGTAGGGGTCAATACTAAATGAACAACATACAGTAGGTATTATAACTTTATACACCAGGGAAGAAACAAGTTTTCATTTAAGTATTCCGCTGAAAAACAAGGTAATCCAGCACCATTGCAACAATGTCAACAAATATAGTAGATAACAAGTAGAACCAAACAACATATACAAATATATAGGAGGTATGATAAACAGTAATAATTTACAAAATAACATGACTACTGCGATGTTTGTAGATAACAAGTAGAACCAAACAACATATACAAATATAGATAGTCTTCTTGTTCATTAACCAATTATAGCTATACTACATTTCAGTGCAGTACGTTGTCAGCTAACAAACACTCGATTAGTGATCAGGGTGCAGCTTGTAAACTCAAATCATAAACCATCAGTTTGACATACTGATCACAACTCGCACACCCAACTGACAGCATATAACCAGAAAACAACTACTTCTATTTTCATTACAATCCCCTAATTTGAGGTAAAATGTAATCAGTGACTGCCAGTACTTCTACCACTACCAAGCAAGCCAACACACACACAGAAAATAACTAATAACTAATAACACACATTCACTTTCACAACCTGCACAGCAATAAACAGAACAGCAACCTACACATAGCTACACAGAACAACAAGAACACAACTAAGTGCCATGCTTAAAGGTCAGAATAATACCATACAATATATATGCCATGCTTGAAGGTCTTCTACGGGGATCACTATCATCTTCTTTTTATCATCCCACTTAAACTTTGTATAAGTTTTGATATCATTGATGACCGAATGATGTTTCTTCCAAACCTTGATCCGATTCTTCACTTGATCCATGGTGACTAAGATGCCCAATTGTTTCCTCACGTTATCCACTACAGCTTGATATGCTTGCGATTTGAATTCTCCCATCACCCTTATTTCCCTCATTAATCTGCTCAAACAATGTTTTAGTGAGTACACCATCCATTTGTGTATTCCAACTTGTATAGTTTCTTCTTTGTGATTGTGAAGGTGCCATAGGCTCTTTCCCAGGTCTCCTCATAATGTATGATGTTCAAAGGTCCTGTAGACAAGAAAATAAAAATAAAAAATCAAATCAACACTTGTACTAATGCTAAAACTAAAATGACAAGAAGAAAGGCAAACAAATTTTATGACAAGAAGAAAGACAAACTAGTTTTATGACAAGAAGAAAGGCAAACTCGTTTTATGACAAGAAGAAAGGCAAGCTAGTTTTAAGACAAACCATACATATTACACAAATTTCTCATTACATAATAAATAGTTTTATGACAAACCATAAATAATACACAAATGTCTCATTACAACTAAAACCTATGTAGCTTGACCCCTTCGTGCCATATATTCTTGAAACATCTTCTTAGCAAGGTCATCTCTAAATTTGTTCCACTCGTTTGTTGTTCGGATAAAATGTAGTCTTCTTCTACCTCTTCCTCATCTATTGCTTCCATATTTATCAAGTCATGGTCCACCTCTTGCATAAGACTCGTTTCCTCCATGTTTTCTTCCCTTAGAAAATTATGTAGGATAAAGCAAGCATTGATAATTCTTGATTTTTTTTTGGAAAAAAGCTAGAATTTCTTAAAATGCTCCAACGCTTCTTTAACAGCCCAAATGCCCTTTCAATGGTATTTCGAGCAGATGAGTGTCGCAAGTTAAAAAGCTCCTTTTCATTTGTAGGAGTGTTTCCTCTCCACAAATTTAAATGGTATCTAGTACCTTTGTAAGGAGCTAGGAAACCTTCGGCATTAGAATATCCTAAATCAACAAGAAGATACTTATCTGCAATCAGAGAATGTTAACATTTTAATTATACATTCATAGTCACATAACCCAATCTTTATACAAAATAATAAAAAAAATATATATGTTCTTACTTTTAGGCACTTTAAGACCATTAGGCCTACGAAGAGCATCCCGAAGGACACGAGGATCCGATGCGGATCCTTCCCAACCAGGTAGCACATACGTGAATCGAAAGGTTAGGATCACAAGTGGCTAGTACATTAGTGCTAAGGTTCCCTTTCCTATCTCAATAGCGAGGTTGATCCTCAATTGGCACAGTCATATCAATATGTGACCCATCAAGAGCTCCTATAACACCTTTGAACCACTTCCATTTATTATCATCAGCATAACTAGTAGTGTGATCGGCTTGTTTGATGTAATATTTCCCTAACTTGAGCATGGATGCAAGAACTACATGAAATTGACGACTAATAGTCTCTCCGGATTGTGCAAAGAGGGCTTGCATTGTTATATTTTTCAAATCATGGGCAAGGGTATGAAGAAATAAAGCCACAATTTCTTTTATCGTGACATTTCTCGTGGTCTTTAGCCCACCTTTAGTTTGTAATACATGACATAGCTTCTCAAAACAACGTATATCGAGACGTAAGTAGCTCTTGTTCTAGCACGTTCGGATTCATTCCATGTTATTTCCTTTAATCTATATTTCCTACCATACCATGCTCCTACTACTACCATAATAAAACCTAAAACCATCACAACTATGTCCATTTCATCATCATCATCCCTTGGGCGCTTACGTGACTCTTGTATATTCAAATCAGACATCCTAAAACATTCAAGCCAAATTTAACTAAACTGAGTTTATCTAGTGAAGCCAAATTTCAAACAACTCAAGCAAATCAAGTAAACAAAATGAAAGAGGCACACTTGAACAGAGAGGCAAGTAGCATAAAATTCAAGCAACAACATTAATTCACAAAATTCATTCCTTTTTTTTTTTTTTTTTTTTTTGTTAAGCATTATGCTATGATGATCAAAACATTTTTCAGCTGAGAGGCAACTAGAACAAATCTATGTCTGATTTAGGACTAGGATGCTTATATGTAACTAGTATTTTCATTATATAATGCATAAAATAATTGATAGCAACAACCCATTTAAGGCTTAGTTTTAATTTATTATTCAATTTAGCAGGACAAAGAAACTGGTGGCAATGGTTGTTCAGAAACTGATCATTTTTGGTAAAGCTAAGACGATCAGCACATACATGCATATCTCTGTCTTATCTCTTCTGTTTCCTAAGCCCATACATTCATCCCCTTCTTCTGCTTTGCTACTTACTTCACCTTCCCCTTTTTCTTCCTATTTATACAACAACAATAAAAATTGAAATTACTTGCCTTCTTATCTTCAAGGTTCATATTTCTATCTAATTCTACTTTTTTTTGTCATCAATTTTCATATTATTTTGTAGTATGTCTATGCATGTGTGACTGTTTTTATTCTCATACTCGCTTTGTTGTAACTAAACAGTGGTAACTAAACAACTCCCTTTCTTGGCATTTCATCCAACAACCAATTAACCATCAAAATTTGTATACATTGCAAACATTGAACAATCAAACATTGCAAAATTCAGCAATCATATTTATACAATATATGCATAGAGTATAGTACTGATTAAACTAGTTCAAGAAAATCAATCAACAATTAAGCACAAACAGTTAAGTAAATCATATCAAATATTCGAAATAAAAATTTCAATCAACAATTTCTCACTTTAACATTTCATCGAACACCTAGAGTGCACTGAAATACTAGCATTTTACCACACAAATCAATTAAATTTATAGTAAAAATGAACCAAAAAAGAGCGAAAAAATCAGCAGAACTTATCAATAAACCCTAGATTATGAAATTGATATTCGATTATTTAAGAAAAAATACCTCAGGAGCCGATTCAATGGAGGAATCTGCTACAATGGAGGAATCTGCTACAATGGAGTGCGCCGCTGCTACACTTTGACAGAGAAGAAAGAGCTTTAATGGAGGAGATAGGAGGAGAACTGGAGAAGAGAGTACGTGAGAGAGGAGAGAGAATTTGAAATGACCAGAATTTGGGTTGGATTTAAAATTCTTAATGATTGATTAATTTTTTAAAAGGCATGGAATTGGAATAATTCTAAATCCAAATTCTTGGGCTAGCCAAACATTACATTTGGCCCAATTCCAGCATTTCAAATGAAATGCCCTTATCCAAACAGGTCATTATAGTAATTCACTAATTAACGATTGTGTGTGTGACATCATCCGTATACTGGATGATATGATTTATCATGTGAATGATATCGATATCATTAATTATCCAAATGATGTTATCCAACATACAATCCACAATTGATTTTTCAAAAAAATTAAAATTAAAATCTATATCTATCTATACTCTATACTTTAGGATCAACATGTTGACATCATTAAAGGACACTTGTCAATTTTTTATGAAAAATTTTCCCGCCAAAACTATTTTTAACATCATCATTTTTTCTCATAAATTCTAAAACTAAACAATTACAATAGGTAAAGTTTCGAGTGAGACAGACTCACCATGAGTCCGCCGCCAACACTCACAACACCATTCATTCACCAACTCTCGCTAAAATCCAAATCCAACCATCATCACCTCGTTACCCACTTCCACCTTCTTCCTCCACCACCGCTGCTTTCCCCCGCAACCAGAAAGTGCCGGCAATGATCTGGTAATGAGATTCTCTCTCCTCCGCCATAACCATCACCTTGCTCAACTTCCAAAGCTCTCATTCATGGCTTCTCTAACCACACGCTACCACCATAGAGCAGGCTTGGGCCCATTGGAAGAAGTTGGGTCGGCCTAAATTGATAGTTGCTCCCATGATTGATTGCTCTGAGCTTTCGTTTAGGGTGCTTTGCCGCAAGTATGGAGCTCAAGCTGCTTATACTCCAATGTTGCATTCTAGAATTTTCTCTGAGACTGAGAAGTATCCTCGTTACCCACTTCCAATTTGATTTAATGTGGAAAATCCCAATTTGGAGGGGTTTCCATTGATGTAATGAGGAGTGAAAAATATTATAGCCAAGGAAGAAGAAGAGGGTTAGTGGTGAAGGAGAAAATAATGTCAGACATTAGATATTTATTATTTGGTATTAAATGTTTATTTTCAGGTATTAGATTAGTATTGTCAAGTATTAGATTAGTATTTTCAGATTAATATTGTTTATATTTGTCAGGAATTAGAAAATTTTAGTCAAGAATAAGATTATTTTAGTCAGGAATAAGACCATTTTAGTCAGGAATAAGATAACGTTTATCAGGAATAAAAAAATATTATCGATTTATAAAATGTTGGTGCGCGAGTTTTGATCGGGTTTCTCAGACCCGCCTTTTTTTGCTGAGCCCGATCTCACGTGAGTCCGTTCTACGCAAAACCTTCTAACTACAATATTTCTTTCAAAATTAATAAATAAGATTATGATTACACTTTTTTGAATAAAGAATATTGACAACTATTTTAAACAAATAAAATCTATTTAAACTGTGCAACGCATGAGATTAATCTAGTTTAAAAATACAAACCACCATGCACATCATGCCACATGTAAAATTTATTTTTCACCTATGTCACTTTATTTAACCTTTTCTTTTTTAAAATCTTCTTTCTCATATTTTTTTTAGAAAAAAAAAAAACATTAGCATTAATTCAATACATGTATGACTGATGTTTGATTCACTTTCTCCTAACTTAATATCTTCTATCATTACATTTAATTTTCACCCCTTCCTCTCCTTTTAAAACTATTCATTTTTCAATAAAACTATATTGTAAAAGAAAAAAAAATTACTCCCTGCGTCTCTTTTTTACATTATAAATATTTTATTAAGGCCAATGTTCAATAATTTATTGAATGGCGACAACAAATGGAACAGAAATTGGTTTCCCAATTTCCTTCGCATGTGCCATATGCCAGTTGTCTAAAATTAAAACAAAAAAATAAATTATTCTCTCTCCTCATACTACTTTACTTTCTCTCTCTTCCTCATTTTTCAATGGTATTTTCTCTCTCATCTTTGGCGATCTTCCACCATTCTCCTCCCTTCCATGGGAGAATTCTTATTTTTAACTTTCTCTTTCACTTGCAAAATTGTTTCTCGCTAATTTCAGGTTTGTTACTTAATTATTTGTGCATTTTTATTAGTTTTTAGTGGTTTTGATTTTCGATTTTTTGGTTTTTTGATTTTGTTCTTTCGCTTTTTTGTAGTGCTATTTTCCTTGTAAATTCTGCAATGGTGATCTCAGTGCAGGTTCGTATTCTAATTTTTTTTACAAATTTGTTTTTAGTTGATTTCGTTTTTTAATGTTTGGAATTCCTTAATGTTTTTGTACTGTGTTCATGATTTTTTTTTTTTTTTTTTTTTTTTTTTTGGAATTTTCAGGTTTTATTGTAGTTGATTATTTAGACTATTTGAGAGGACCAGCTTGTTTAAGAAGGTTCTAATAAAAATATTATTGCTTTGCTGATTAGAGTACACCCCTAAAAGGGTGTGTAGTGTGTTTAGTATGGTTTGAGGTAAAAGAATGGGATGAAATGGAACAAAGGAGGGAAAACAGAAGAGAGGGAATGATAATCCTTACTCCGTACTTTTTTTATATTGTTTGTTATTTATAATAGAATGAAATAGAATCAAATTTCTTTCAAAAAAAAAAAAAGAATCAAATGAGAAATAGAGGAAGGTAACATAATCTAATCTTGGTGGGTTGGAAAGGGTAAATGGAATATATGATCCTCACTTAACAAATTGTTACCAAATCCCTCAAACAAAACATGTAATTAAACTACTTGATTGATTCTGTTTTCAGCTATTAAAATCTTCATATAGGGTTTAGAGGGCTTTGTTGATTCTTTTTCCAGCTCTCTTGCTCTCTCCATGGGCTAGTATGGTCATTTTCTAAGTGATTATGGTGGAAGATATAGTTGTAGTTATCATCTTTGCTAGCTTGCTTCTTTTCTCACTTGAATCATTTTGTGATGGGTTTATATTGGTAGCTCAGATCACCTTGGTCGTCCTATAGGCTTGCTCATAAATCTAGTAATGTATGATCGTGTGGCCTTTGTCTGTAAACTCTTTTTCCTCTCTTAACTTTGTGGCATTTCTCTTAACAAAATATTTGGTTTTGATACAGACTGCAAACTTTTCTTCTTATTCCTCTGCTTCTTTAGTGAAGACGATGAGGTTTGTGGCTTTTAAACTTCACCGCCTGGCCCCATGAATTCTTTAATAGCATCAAACAGCTTCATAGCATGAAAATTATTCACTCCCTCCATACTGTCGTAATGCAGAAATGAGTTATTTGTCCTATCATACACTATGATGCTCCAATGACTTCCACGATAATCATCATTGTCATATATGGCAAAAAGGACCAGTCTCTTGCTTGATAGCTTGCAAGACTGAGCGAACTCTTCAACAAATTTATCCTCACAAGTTGCAAGACAGACAGATATAGAAGGTTTAACAAGCAGGATATCATCATATTTGGTGCTAGAGAACAACATATAGCTAATTGTTATGATTGCTAATTTATCACTCTTCAAAATATTTGGTTTCCTTGATCATGTGATTGTTTTGCCATTGTTATGATAGAATGAAAAAGTGTCTAATTTCAAGGCTATTAGCTCAAACGGTAGAGTGATGTACATTACATGGTGTGGGTTCAAGCCCCACATAGCCTATATAACATACGTGTATTGGTGTATTCCTATAGTTGGAGTAGTAACAGTCATTGTTATAACTAGTATTGAGCATAGTGTTCTTAGTTAGGGTCACATAAGTGCTTTTGGTCAGGTTTATTTTTGCCTTGTTTAGGTTCACTTTCGTTTATAATTTAGGTCACTTTTGCATTTGGTTAGGGTCACTTTTTCCTTTGAGTAAGGTTACTTTTGTCGTTAGTTAGGGTAATTTTTTTTTAACTTGAATAAGGTCACTTTTGTTGTTATTTAGGGTAACTTTTTACCTTGATTAGGGTCACTTTTTCTTTTGAGTAAGGTCACTTTTGTTCTTGTAGGGTAACTTTTGTCCTTGATTAGGGTTACTTTTGCCTTAATTAGGGTCACTTTTACCCTTATGTAAGTTCCCTTTTATTCTTGTTGGGGTAACTTATGTATTTCTAGGGTCACTTTTACCTTAGTTAGGGTCACTTTTTCCTTAATTAGGGTCACTTTTATTCAAAATGGTTAAAATTAATATATAGTGTTTGAATGCTTGGTAGTTGTTTCAAGAAAGTCGAGAGATTAGGTGTTTGTTCTTATACAAAATACAACCAATAGCCTATGTAGGATTCGAACCTACATCCTCTGTGCGACACAAAGTGTTCAGCCAATTAAACTAATAGGCTTATAAACAACACAATATGGAATAATTTACATCAAATTTATAGTAGTCTGAAACTTGCAAACTGAATTGAACTATTCATTGCTTACTATGCAACAAATTTAGCAATATGAAGCACCAATATTTTGGCACAAGAAAACACAACTTTTAATTCCGTCACATAAGCGGTAAGCTGATTTTGTAAATTTATTAATGATTATATAGTTGTAGTACAACAGAAAAGCTTTGTTGTTGATTACTTGATCTTAATAGCAGGTAATTTTCCCCCAAATAAAAAAAGCAGTTAATTGGAAATGAAGAGAAAGCTAACAATCTTTATCATTCTTTATATAACAATGAAAATTTTATTTTAAAGTGGACAAAAATACCTGATTTTTCGACTAATATATACTTCACTCGTTTTCTAAATCATGACCGGAATATCAATTAGAAACCTAAATCAGATAAAATTGAGAGCAAAATATCACAATTAAAGAATGTTAGGGTTCGAATTTTGATCAACGAAAGATCGATTGCAGACTAAGAAACATAGATCAATTGAAACGCTGTGAGAGATCATCCCAACATCAACCTTCTTGTAATTTGAGGTTGAATGTGGTCATTACTTTGGTAGTTTGTTTGATGAGAGGAGAGAGAATAATACAGAGTATTGGAGATAATGAATTTATTAGTGGCACGTGTGAGAATTTCTGATGTACAGTATATTATTGTACACCCGGGGCACACAAAAATTTTTGTTTTTACATTCATGATTTCCTTTTGGGGTATCAAAATTACATTCCTATTTTTCTTTTTTAGTAAGTAAATTTTTACCATATATCCCAAATAATCCCTATTTTCTGTTTTGAAATTAATGTTTTCTCATTCTCAGATTTCTCACTCTTATTAATGCCTTTGAAAAATTCAGAATTTATGTGCATTACTTTAGATGAATATGATTGGTCCTTTTATTTTTTTACCAAAAAATGTTATTAGTCCTTTTTCTTTTCAAATGATTGATAACATGTGCATCATTTAATATTATTCAATCTTTATTTTATTTAAAGACATCAATTTATGTCTTGTAATTCCCATTATACTTTGTTTTATTGTTCTTTGTTTTATTCCAAGTTTCTCAATTCACGTGTAATTTTAGAAATAGGAATGTAAAAAACGGGACGGAGGGAGTATATTATATGCCTATAAACAACCCGTGCATTGCACGGGCCAAAAGACTAGTTATATTTGAATTACTCTTGCATAACCACTCAAATATCTTTATTAATCTGAGGGAATCATTCAACCCTCATTTTGGTAATCGCTATTTTCACAACCCCAAAATTACAAAATTACAAAATTTGAACTCCTTAAATTGTAGTTAAATGAAAGAGGAAAACTTATATTACTTGAGAAAGTCATCGTTGTAAAATCCTCGTCATCTTCTTCCTCACCAACTTCTTCATGGTTTATCTCTAATGATTTCAGGGTCCACGACGGCTTCCTCGTTAGTGTCAAAATAGTTGAAGATGTTGCTGATGTTGGGAAGAAGCTAATCGTTGGGGTTCGACAGAGATAATAACCATCACTTATTTACATGATTATTTATACTTGACCACTAAGTCATGTTTGACATCGTCAAACAATTATAATTGGTTATTTATTGCTTTACACTCTCAATCATTTTTGGGACATATGGGACAGTTAATTAGCTAAATTTATGATTACCAATAATTTTTTATGTTTCCTATATATGTATATGTGGAACAACTACTCATACCTAGGGTGTTGTTTATAGTCTTTGCATTTCATCATACCTATATTTCCTTATAGGGTTTTATATTTCAAATATTAATAAAGTTGTTAAAGGAAATTTTTAAAAGATTTATTTTACAGTTAGATAATTCTTAAATGCAAATATATGGCTTTTAAAAACCCACGGAATGAGTTCAAATAAAGAAGT